CAAGCGTGAAAATTTTCGAAAATTCGTTTCTTATTATTTTATATTATCAGGAGAATATATTTTGCGAGGAGGTCGAAGATGCGTTGATGACCTCTTTACAAATCATGTTCTCCTAATAACGCATTTAAAAAAAAAAAAAAAAAAAAATTTCGCGAACAATTAATGTTCGAAATAATTTACGCATTGCCATCCGCGTTTTGTGGGCTCTTAATGCTCTTCACTTAATTATCATGTTGATAAATACATAGAGCCGTATTATTTACCAATTTATTTTGAAAAATATTTATTTCATCTTTGAATAATACAGTATCTGTCGCGATTGAATAATTTATTTGTTATCAATTTACACACATAAGTATTTAATTGTTATATAGCACTGGTGCTACCGGCATTTCGTGCACATAGCACGGAACAAAACCAGAAATTGTGCAATTTTATATTACCCTCTGAGAACATTCATGGTCTTTGTAGTTCATGTCCATGTTTTGAATGTCCATAGAGGGAGTATCACTTTTGGGATCACTCCATAGCTTGGACATGAACCATAGCTCAGACACGAACCATGTATTATTATCGACTCTAATGGATGTAGTTGACGTCCACTTTGTCATGGAGCGCATTAGGACAATATACCACGTTAAAGCGAGGTGGCCGCTCTCAGGTTTCTCTCTGTATATATATATATTCATGGACATTGGCTTTTTAGTTCATGTCGACGTTTTCAATGTCCATAGAGGGAGTATAGGTGCAATTTCATTGACGTTAAAAAGTAGCGTCAACCATTGGTTTGAACAAAGAAGTAAGTAGTTGCTTCTTTGTTCAATCAATGGTTTCATTGACGCTACTTTTTAGCGACAATGAAATTGCACCTTATCGCTCCAGGGACTTAAAAGCAGGCTATGACACCTCTCAGTCTTCTCTCCGCTTTGACATAACCAAGTAGATTGGCATTTTGCAGACACTTATGTAAAGATAATACGCAAAAACGTATATACTTATACTCTGAATAAAAAAATTTTGAGAGGAATTTAAAGAAGAAGCAAATATGAGATTAACGTCTACTTTATTAAGACACGTGGGAGAATGGTCAAAGAAATATTCAAATTTACCAGACAGTTATATACAGCGGGCTATGGCACAGGTATACATAATTATCTATAATAATTGTTTAGAAAAAGATGCATGTTATTCTTATAATACATAACACTCTCTTTACATAACATTCTCTACATAACACTACTACATTTTCTACACCTCATCTTATTCTTCATGAATTTTTTAATATTATTGATAAAAACTATAATTAGGTTTATTGGAGAACACCTCGTAAGCCAAATTATTTGCCACGTACGATTGAAAAGAAAAATTTTCGTTTCTCCATATTTCGTCCATGGACTAATCAATTTCATCGTGATAATAGGCCTGGTAAGAAACACAAGTTCATTCATGTCGAGCCTATTAAAGATTGGAGTTTCTTTAGAGGTGATAGGGTATGTAAATTTACTTGGAAAGCATTAATACTTTAATAAAATAAATAATTAATAATATTATATTTATCATTGCAACTTGTGGCATTATATATATAATTGTGTTCATACTTTTCTATATAGGTAGAAATTTTAGAAGGGAAAGATAAAGGAAAACAAGGGCTCGTAAAAGAAATCTATCAAGAAAGGAATTGGATAATTGTGGAAGGACTTAATACAAAACTGAGATGTATTATGAAAGACAAAAACTATCCTGGTACATTTATACAGGAGGAACAACCATTACTAGTAACTTCACAGGTGCAATTAGTTGACCCTTCAGACATGTAAGTACAATTTATTCAAAGAATTCATTTTATATATGAAAATATGGCCAAAGTATATTATAATATTTTATAACATAATATAAATTAAATCATTGTAGGCAAGGAACTCAAATAGAATGGCGATATAAAGAAGATGGCGAAAAGGTTCGCATATCTCTGAGAACTGGTAGAATAATTCCTGTGCCTGTCGCGAGTGAAGAAACAGTAGATTATAAATCTCAGAAGTTATATAGAGAGCAACCCAAAGATACAATTAAAGCCGATGCAGAAAAAGTAACTTTTATGGTATGTAATATATATTTAAGAAATGTTGCAACAATTTAAAATATTATATATATAATTTTACTTTTTCATCTATATGAATTATCTACAAAGATATACTATAATACATAATATAAATGATATAAAATAAATATATCTTTTATATTTGTAGCCATCATTAAAGACTTTTGAAATGGATATCATGGATGAAATGGGTATTAAAGAGGACCGTATTCAGAAAAGCTCTTATTGGTATTAATCATTGTTATATACAATTTTCTGTTATTAGTTTCTCTACACAATTACAATTTTTAATAAATATATTAAGTAAATGAAAGAATCAGAATACATAGTCATTCTTTTAATATAATTAAAATATAAAATTCTTATATTACAATCTTTTTGAATGAAAAAATTGCTTTTGTGGAATATTTTATTAACATACTAATAGAAAATAAATTTTTTATATGATAATTTCAATATCTTCTTTCATAGTATCGAAAAATTGTATATCTTTGTAAAAGCTATATTATAATATCGTTGTTTTGCAATTTCTTATATAGGAAATATTAAATGCAATAAGAAAAGAAATATTCATAATATTAAACAATAAAAAGCGAACAATTCAATATTTTATATAACAAATTTACATTGGATTAAAATATGTAATATTAGTGTTTCGATCAATAACGTTTGACGCTAAATCATGTCACACATATCACAGCACAAATTTTGACAACTGCAAATTCCTAAAAAGTTCAGCTCAGTTCTCTCTCATATTACGTTTAGATATTCCAATACATATTTTTATATTAATATCTGTTATGTTATATATGACACACTCTCTTCCTCCTTAATTTTACGCATTTATAACTCTGATTATAATTGAAATTAAATTAACGATTCATCAAACGTCAATTTCAACATTGTTAGAAATTTGTAGCCATAAACGCGCGCATGTAAGAATATAAAAGCACAGAATAATATTTTAGGAATCGAAACCTGAGAGAAATGATAGAATTAGACCCAACATTCACAAAATATTGTTTTAATTTAATTTAATTTAATTTAATTTAAATGTTTAATTTATTTTAACTTAATATTTAAAGTAAAATTCTACTTATTAAATTTAACATTTTAAAATAAAATTCGAAAATGTTTACCAAATTATGTATATTTTAATATTTAAATTTAAATAAAAGGACAGAGAATATATATACATACACGCACATTTCGCGTGTGCGATAGATTTGGAAATATAATTTTAAATCTGCCGCGCGATGTAGAGATTCCACTCTATTAGTTCGTAGTTCATTACTGCGATCTAACGGCTAACTTCAGTTTGAAAGACAGTGTTAAACGCGTTTTTACGCGAAGTGTCGTGGAGTTTTTTTTCGAGTGTTCTCAGGCTTCGAATTTCTCATCGAAATCGGTACATCGTACACTTCGTCCTACTATATTCTTAAGAAAGATACAACAGGACCGAGAATTAAGTTTGGGAAAGAAATAAAGCGTCACGACGGATCTCTGTCTCAACAAGACCGTCCGCTTCCCCCTGCTTCGTCTCGGATCTTTCAAAGTCCTCGTCCGAAGTAAGTGTGTGTGTATTCGATCCTGTTATATTTTTGTTATAATGTCTACAATTAACCGCACGAAATGCTGCGCGCATTTTATTCGTTAAAGCTAATTTCGTTGATCGATCTACACAAATGTTGCAAACAAAACGGTATTATTTTATCCGATATCTCCATATAAATCGCATCGCTATCAGTGCGTAACTTCATTAGACCACTCGTGACGTACGCTTTTTCTTACATCGTTTTTCAACGAAAATTACACATTGAAAAATTACGAGAAATTACGATCTCTCGATTATAAATTCCAGCAGCAATTAGCTATTTCTTTAATATAATGCAAAGTTAACTAATTACATTTACTGATAGCTGCGAGAAAAAGGGCAATTAAAGATAGTTAAAATGCCTTTATAACACAAAAAAATATCTATTCGTATTATACGTGATCTTATTGTATTAAGAGTTAGAAAACACTGAAACAAACATATATCTCTTGTATTATTATTCGGTTCTATTAAATGGCGCGTCAATTTTGCGCGCCATTTTGTATTTATACGATATATATACTACCGTTTCGTATTCTAAAGTAAATCAACAGGAACCACACTATAGTAATGCATCGGGGTGGCTACTCGACGGGTCGGCTAATCGACATTAAACAAATAGGCGATCTACAATCAGGCTCATACTTTAATTACTTAATCGGTTATCATTTGCTTGTCGCAAACTCTCTTAACTCGAACTATTACTGCACGGCCGGCACTATGAAAAATTAATGTCGTACGAATCGACATTGTTCTAAACAATTAATTGACAACACCTATCTATTTCGTTCCATTAATATTACGATTCTTTTTGCATATGACATGCATCATGTAGAAATTCTCTCTCTTATGTTTTGTTATCAAAATATATTAATAATACGCTTTCTATTCTTGCTTTTTGACAAAATTTCCAATGCGACTATAAATGTAATAGATTCAACAAATTATATTCAACGTCTAATCAATGCGATTATTACGAGTGCAACTATTTTAAATTGAAATGTCGAAATTGAAAATCAGGCTTTTTCTTCCATGAAAAATTCCATTTTATAAAAATATATCCTTATGTGTTTCTCAACTATATTGTATTATATTGCAAATTTATACTTAATATTTAGAAAATACACTTTTATTGCTATTTACATATAAAACTGAATCTGCTAAAAGTACACAATTTCTATGAGACATCCAATCAAGACAAAATAAATTAGCAAATTCTACAAGTTCGCTATTTTCTATTTTTTTTTTTGTTACTTAATAATTCATCCATTCTAAATTTATGATATATAATTATGTAACTGTATTAGAATAGCAAATCTATAATATATATCCAATAATTAAAACGCCTCAGAAATATCGTGAACAACTTTTTCTGTAGAAATCGGAGATAATAATTTCTTATTTTGTTTAGAAAGCAGTATTATTCAAATTTACAAGCTCGATAAAATAATTCTCACGTAATATTAATGCAGTTATATATATAGAATATCTCGAACAAAAAATTATCACGCCTTATATATTAAGCCCGTTATGCCCCGTTATTTAACAAGTATCAATCGAAAATTTATCCAGTCGCTTGCTTGGCACATTTCTGCACTCCCGTTTCCGTCGGGATTCCTTACTTTTCACGAGGATTTGGTGGCAGGATGCCTGACTAGGAGATTTACTTCACCGTCGTGTAGCTTCTTCATCAAAGACCACGCTTCTATCCTCGACATTCGCGTTACATCGTTACCGTTTACTTCGAGTAATTGGTCCCCTGCTTTTAATGCACCTGTCTTCTCGGCAGCACCTCCTACGATAAGAAGAATGAAGCTAAGATTTGACAATTTTTATCTCGCTACAATTATTGTTGTCTCTTATTATCATAATTATAAATGTATAAAAAATATCTAGGTAAAATTTACCGGTGAATATCTTCTTGATAATCAGAGGTCTGTCCCCGAGGGGACTATCCCTGCCGCCTTCCAGACTAAATCCCAAACCAGCTCCATCCTTGTAAACTGCCACAGTCGACGGCGGTCCCCACGCTGTGTTCTCTACATTTCCATTCGTCTCTAACCCTGAGAAAATTCTTTTATTTATATTGATTCTATTATTGTTAAAACAGTTCAAGTTCAGTCAATCTTAGCTTGCATCGGAGGTTGATTTGAAAGAGAGAGAAAAGGAATAATAATATTCCAGAAAAAGAACATAATAATAATATACATTTTCCCTACCTTCGACGATGGTTTCGACACTCGCGGTCCGTGACCTCAGCTTACAGCTCTCTTCTATTCTAGCCCTCGACACAACCAACACGACCTCCGATCTCGGTTGCTTCAGCACCGCCATGCTCTCCCTGTGAGTGAGACCTCGCGTGCTCCTGCCGTTTATACTGAGAATCCTGTCGCCCCTTTGCACTCGGCCGTCCTTGTCTGCGATAGAGTGCGTCAGTACCCGATGAACCGTGATCTCCTTCACCTCGCAATCCGCGCCACCGGCCAAAGTGATGCCGACGCTGCCGGTCGGATTTTCCTTATGAAGCAGAACGACTACGACGTCGTGCGCGCCACGCGTCTCTTCTAAACTCGCCTCCTCCACGAGCTGCGCTAACTCTTGTTGCGAGATCAAGCTAGTACTGCTGGCCAACGAGCTGATACTGCCGAATTGCTCGCCATAGCACCTGTCGACATCCGTTTCCGTCCCGATGTTCTCGTCCACGCTGCTGTCTAGGCTAGGGAATCGATTGTGAGAGCTGCTGGCGCACTGTTGCGACTGGCTGTGCACAGGACTCGCGTCCAGGGCTCTCTTCATATCTGTAACGCTGGCACTGCGTCGATTCAAACCACGAGACGTCGGAATCTTCGATGTCGTTGTGTTTCTTATTCTCTCGATATTTTGCGACATTTCATCACTGCTGTCGATATTTCTAGCTTTTCCTAAAGTAGGAATCTTTGAAACGAAAGGCTTATCTTCCGACCAGGATTCATTCGACGTAGTAGAGCCTCTTCTACAGTATCGACCTTCCTTCGAATCCCAAGTAGACTTCATTAGCGAACCTGTACCGTTCTTCTCGATTCTCGGCTCCGTACTTTCCGCGCGAAGTAACTTTGAGTCTGCTTTAGTAGCTAATATGTCTTCTAGGCTCATCTGACTTTTGGATCTACCGAAAGTTCCTTCGTTGACGTGTATAGCTGATCTAGAACGGCTCTTTGTTGTTAAGATCGTTAAGAGATCGTTTTGATCTTCCGTATTTCTTTTGGGACTTACACTCATTCTGCTTTGTGACTTTGATATTTCCATTCCAGCAACTTTTGCTTCGCTTATTGTGATTTTGCTCTTTGAAGGCAAACCGCCATTTAGTGTTGAATTAACAGGTTCGTCAAACATAGAACTATGATTTTTTCTTGTTGTATGAATTACAGGCGATGTTTCCAAAGTTTGAGTAACGACAGGAGGACTTTTATCATATTTGTTGTTTGATTTTTCTTCCATGGCTCGTTCGATAGTCTTCGCCCCTGCTCGAACCCACATTTTAAGATCGTTTGATGGCTCTAGCATTTCAGGTTTCGGTGGTCTAACAGCTGGCGGCGGTAGCATGCTTCTTTTAGGTGGCAGCTTTAATTCTTCCTTCTTCTGAAAGAATTCCTCATCCTTAGCGAATCGATCTGCAACCTCTATATAAGCTATCTTGATTTCTTGTTTGCTCGCGGAATCATTCCCCGAATCATTGATTGACTGACGAATAGTACTGCTGTTTTCGATAGCAGTGTCCTCGTCGTCCGAGAATTTTCGCTGGATTAACGGCGATCCGTTCAGATCTCTTCCGCTTCGGCATCTGGCGCTTGCCAGAATGTTCTTTCGATTTATGGCTTCCACGCTTTGCGGCTTCAGTACTCTTCGGGATAGAGACTCGGCGCTAGCCTGAGATCCAGATGTCAATGTCGAGGATGTGCTGCAATTCGTATCAGTGCTGTTCGATCGTTTCAGCTGACGCTGAGGAATCTGCGAATTTCTCGAAAAGAACTCGTTCGGCTGAGGCGATCGCGAATTCGAACCGCCACTACTGCTGGACGACGATCTCTCAGTCAAGCACGTCCGTTCATTGAGAAGGCCTATTCTGCCGAATTGATCTTTATCGGATTCACTAATTGGATCTTTAACATCTCGCGACACCGAAGTCCTATTTAAACTGTCCACGATCAAAGGTCGACGTTGGTAATTCAGTTCCGTGGAAATGTAAGATCTTTCCGAAGATATGGTGGATCTTTCCGATGGCGCCGGAGACATCGGCGGACTAAAGCCGCGAGATATACTACTCTGAGAACTGCTTACGGCTGAATCGTTGTCAGAATCGTCATAATCCAAGCGAGCCTTCCTCTGCACCATCCTCGGCCTGTTACGTGAACCATCCGGCGAGCTGGTCGTTGAGGCGAACTCGAAACTATAATCACTTCTCGTCGGGCTGCAGATACTCTCCAAACTTTTCGGTGGTTCCGAAAATGTGGACGTGCTTGATGGAGAGTTTTTCATCGAATTATTACCGTTTATCGAGGATGAACTCGTCGTTACAGATGTACCGTATACCGTGAGAGATTTTCTCTTGAAAGCTGGAGAATACTTGGAGTGTATCTGTGGCGCCGGCATCTTGAAGGATGTTGTCGCTTTCAAGGGCTGGCTTGCCGTGCTAGCGTTGCTGGCCAAGGAACTTTGAGACCCCCACTTGTCTTGAATGTTTGCCTTTGGTACCTGAAAAAAGATACAATACGTTATCCTGCTGCCGCAAAAATATAAAAAATATTCAAATGTAATTTGTAATGGATTTTCCAAATTAGAAATTAATTAATTTCATGACCATATCGCGAAATATAAGGATTAATTTAGTAAAAAAACTAATCCATAAAATTTCCATATATTGAAAAATTTATATAATTATATTGTACTTTGACAGCTTTAAATCTTACCTGATGTAATAATATCGAATCGCGCGATTTGATTTCTGGTAGATCGACAATGGGCTGATCTATCGGCACGGCATCTTTCTCCGGTATAACTAGACCACGCAGTTTCGATATCGATCTCCGCCTCTGCTCGATCAAATGATTCAAACTGCTTCTTCTCGTGTCATCTCCAGGTCGCCTAAACGTAGATGCCAGAGAGTTCGTTCTCGCGATTTGTGAGATTGCATCTGCTGTCGGAGGATTTCGATCTTGCACGAAGGACATCGAGCCCGAGAAACTGGTAGCTCGTATCAATGAAGGCGTACTCGTCTTCACTGAATTATTAGCATCGTTAAAAGAACTAATAGTTTTACCGATATTCGGATACGTGGCATTTAACAAGTTGTTATTTTCGGCACAATAATTCTTTGTCGTCGTATTTGAAAAAATCTGTTTGTCGTACGGACTGGACAGTGATGTAACTTTCGGTGGAACAACTGGCAGTATCTTTGGAACGCGCATAGGTTGCGTAATAGGGCTCAATAAAGCAGGCTGAGCAGGCAAACTGGGTGTCTTCTGACTATATTTCTTCGCGGAATCGTACCCTGTCGATGCTCTGGCCGAATCGGTGAGATCGAAAGAGCTTTGCGTCCTATCGACGAGGAAAGGCGACCGATCCTTCTGCCCGCTGTTCTTTTCGTCGCAGCAAACGTCCTCGGAGGACTTGTACTTGGAAAGACGTTTGCCATTGCTCGTGACTGCCGCGGCTGTCATGGCATTGGGGAACAAGGGCACGTCGAGGTTGCTTTGCGACGAAAACATAGCGATTTTATCTCGAACGGATCGCTCGGACTTGTCGTCCTGTCTCCAGAGATCGCCGTTTAAAGAAAATTTTCTCTGCGGCGATTCCATCGTAGAAACATTTCTGGCGTGCATTTGCTCCAATTTAGGCTCCAGTTTAGGCGGACCTAAGTAATAAGATATATTTGTATAAAAAGTAAAAAATGAGAATGATATAAAAAATGTGCCACATGTTTCAAGGATAATTTCGAAAGGAAAATTAATTTTGTCGAAATATTGATGTCGAATCTAATAACACGATTGTGTAATTGTGATATGGCAGCGCTGCTTGTCGGAGAAAAAGTAAACGGGGACAGGTTTAATTCGAAGCTAAATGAGTACCTGTTAATGGTAGAGGCGGTGGGATATCGACGGGCGTGTCCTTTTCCACGTGGCTTGGCAACTCCTCAATCGTCATCGCGTCCTTGTGATAATATCCGGCGATCTCCATCTTTTTCTCGCTCATTGTTGAATTGCCATTCGTCGTTTGGCAAGAATAAAGAGGACTTCCCGCGACAGTAGGAGCGTTTCTCTTCGCGACATCTTCCGAAGTGTTATAGGATGATTTTCTCTCCTCATTAAAAATCTCGGAGGACTTGGCGTTATCCTGACACGCGTTATCCGCAATAGCTTTAACTCCTATCTCCGGCCGTACGTTCTCTGTATTCGTCGAAGCACTTTTGTTTATATCTTGCCTCACGTTTTCAGGATTCGTCAACGTCATCTTGCTATCGGACAGAATAATGCTCCTCGAACCGACAACATTGCTGTCGTTCGCGAGCATCTTAAATGACTCGCCGGTACGGAACGTCTCGTTCTCGTTGCACAATTCGCCATTCGTGGCTATTGTCGCTGTCGTCCTTGTCGCGGCAATGTATCTGTTGTACGGTGGCTGGTTATTGCTAAATTCTTGGTACGCTGCTGGAAATTCGTCCCCATCCGGGGGCAGGCGTTGGCCGCCTCCACAATTCTCCATCTTACCATTTACCGTATCTGCAATAATATTTTCAGATGCATTCGAGATCAAATTTCGAGCCTTTTAGACTTCGATAACAAATAATATATTTTAATATTTATCATAGATTTTTAATAAATGATGAAAAATAATTTATTAAGTAGAAATAAGAAACGTAAAACAAAAGATTCTTATGTATTTTTTTCCTAAAGATGATAACGAATGAAAGAGATAACGAAATTTTATGATTGTTATCCCCGTTACGCATTTGACAAGCTATCGTTTGTATAGAATGTCTGTTTCGGTCTCTGATAAGGCAGTGGATTCAAGGTGAAACAGATGGAATTTGAACAACACTATCCTCAATCAAATGGATTTACATGAAAGATTCGAAAATATTTTGTTCGGGACGTAATATCATTATATTAATATGATGAAAAATAAATTTATTACGCGCAAAAATTTTCCAGGCTATTCCTAGATATTACTTTTCTCTATTTTCCTTATAATGCTTATATCATGTCTTAAGAATTTTCTCAGGAAGGAAGTGCATCGGCAAAAATATTTGCACTATTAAAGAGTGAACGTGCAAACTACTTGAATGATTCATCGCGCGTATATCGACACATTACACATCGTGATGAGTGGTGTATTGTCGTTCAAAAAAAATGACGTCATCTCTTCGATTTTTCATATTCCTAATCTGGTGAAGCGCAGACGCAAAATTTCGCGATTTTTCATCGAGGAGAATTCGACGAATATTTTAAAAAGAGCTCGGAATCTTACGGAATCTCATTTGAATCTTCATATTACATATTCGCGAAATATAATTTACAAAAAAAAAAGATAATTTTTATCTTATCGATTTCCTCTTTTATTAAAATTTATTCTAAATTACCCGTTCTACTCGGACCACCGTATTTATAAGACATTCAAATAATTCCAAGAATTTTCCGTACATTTTAACGCGCCTTTACTGATAAAATATTTGCATATATGCTATCTATTTTAAATAGAGATATGTAAAATCGAGCGCGGTACGCGATATTTTTAATGGCGTGAATATCAAAGTCGCGTAAAGACTCGATTTGAATTCTCGTTATATTTGCGCGAAAGAGATTCTTCTATGCTATTTTTTTCCTCGCAAGTCTCTTCGACTCGTAATGTTGCGTCGCAGCGTTAAACGCTCGCATGTATACCGCGAAATCTCCGACTAACTTTAATTCACAGTTAATAAAGCGCGCCGCGCGCGAGCGCTAACTTCTGCTGATTAACATTCCTGGCATAGCTCGGCGCAACGTAACTAATCACCGATACGTGCACAGATGCAACTTTTGCGCTACCCAACGATTTCCGATGCGTGTCTGTATGCATGCATGTATGCAAGCATGTATGCATGTATGTATGTACGTGCGCGTGTCCAGACGATCGCACCATATTTGTACCGGTAACAGGGACACCGCGCGTAAACGTGTGCGTGAATGCCTGAATTTTGCACGCATGTGTGTACGTAAGTACTCTGTCACGGATGTGCAATCCATCCGATGCATATAATTAGAAATTTGCATTCTTAATTGGAAACGCTAGTTACGGCAATCCAGACACGATATTCAATTATGCAAGTATTCGGTAAATATAGCGCGAGTTTTCGATGATAGAGAGGTAATAGTAATGGTATAAAATAACATATTGAGATTGAATTTTTTCGATTGAAATGAAATGAAATTGCTTCTTACACTATCTCGATACGATAAAGACGATAGAAAGCGATCGCGCAAGTGTCACGAATATCGTTTCACATTTCCATCTGTATTCGGCAAATATTTGACTGCAAACATGTGATGAAGTCATAATTATATTATCACAATTACCGAGCCGACATATAAATTGAGTTCATTTACTATTTTTTAAATATTTTAATTTTTAATTAAATTATTAAATTATATTTTTAATTAAATTTTGAAAAATTGTTATTCTGACAAACTAGAAAATAAACATACATAGGATCAAGACTGGAGAACGCGTTCTCCGCTCGCTAGTGCATCTAGTTAAAGATGTTGCCGGTCGAAAACAGACTTCTTGCAAGATATAATATACCTGATTATATACGGCTCGCGTATACAACGTCCACGGAATTCATCGGAGGGGAGGTTGGTTCGTCGTGCAACCACTTTGTGCGAGCGTTAAGCCGGCAGGCGATTAATTTTAATCATCAAAAGGTACATAACTCAAGTCGCAGTCTCAACGGCGAACTTTCACGCGATAGAGGCTCATTGCGCGCGTTTTGCGCGTTTGACCGGTTCTCGGAAGAACGTTGATGTATCGCCGGCAGATGAGAGTGGAAACAACTTGGGTTCGTACCGGCAAGAAGGCTGTCGTAAGACTGGGCGACATTGCTCGCGTCGAGGCCAGCTTCCGCGAGGTTGGCGCTTTCGCGATACGAGAGAAGGGATAGAGACTCGCGTTCGCCTGGATAGCGCGCGCGGCCTGCGCTTTTAGCTCTTTGACAATTGCGCTTCTTTCGCGGATATTATGACGTGCGCGAGAAATCAGTATGCGTTCATTCTTCATCCTCGATCCTCGCCTTTCCATCCTAATTTCTCTCTTAGTCGTTAAAATAATCTAGCACGACGATATTTATCTCTAATCGATCGGCAGACGATCGCGGGACAGCTGTAAGAGAGTCATGAATTAGCTATTACACGATGAACACTCGATGAGAATTTCTCCGGACATCTATGCGTATAATGTCGTCCAGGCCAAGGATCCCGAGTCAATTAATCTCGCAGAATGTGTCAAACGCAATCGTTTGCTCTCTCGTTGGGAAGAAGTCGTAGGACCGGGAGATCTATGCCGGACTGGATTATACCGCTATGCGATATAATCGGTTCTAGAGATGAATTCACAAGTTTGTCATGCCGAGTTACGTCGCCTCCTAATTCCGTAGGCGATGATATATATATGTGATTCATCGATTTATCGGGGCGGAGGAATCTATACCGAGTCATACGTCGAGATCAGATTAACGAGAATAAAAAATGTATTACTTATGAGCGATCAAGAGAGTAGACATTGAGAAATGAATATAAAATATTGTTCGCTTTTTTTCAAATACTAAACATAAGCTACAAATTTTGAAAAAATTTTGCAATATTTACTATTGGTTTCGCAAAGCGATTTTTTGGATATTCCTTTTTTTCAAATATTCGATAAATTAGAATTGCAAAAATATTTGAAAGGCACGAATCAAGGACAATATTCAAGCTGCACACGCGTTATTTTATATATCATTAAAATTAATATTCTCATTATGCATGCTTATCTCGATGCTACACCTGTATAATGATAATAGTGATTATTCCATACAAATTGCAGCCGTAAATTACGTTATTATGCATGTGGTTTTCGAATGCGAGATTGCGTCTGTCGCAATGGCAGGCGATGGCCGGCTCTCTTTGTTCGAACACTGTTTTGGGAAAGAAAGGAGGCAAAATCAATGCCGCAACGTCGCTAAAAAGACACATTTTGTCCTTGGATCGCGCGAGCGAACAATGTATGGCGAAGGTGAAGAGTGGTGAAGAGAGTCAAAGTAAAGAAAGAAATGCGATTTATTAATTGTTATTCTTGTCCTCCCTATAGCGGTCTCGCTCTTTTCGCCTCATCATCATCATCATCATCATCCCGGAACCGTGCGACGATCGTGTCATTAAATGTGTCGGCGACGCGAAGCAACGCGTTTAGCGATAAGTCCGCGCGTTACAGCGTAGATGATCGATTTTCAGGTACCGAATGAAGCGCGACGCGTCCTTCAGCCCGCGATTCGCCGGAGAAACATGTGTTAGAGACGCGTGAATATTTTACGAAGGCCGCGAGAGGCTCATAATACTTGTGCATTCTTTACAAAATGTTAGCTCGCGATTCCACGTCCCATTTTTGAAAAACGATTCTCCTTTCTGCGACTCGATAACTCGAATAAAATACGTGGCATTTAATCGAACGCGTTTTATCTCGATCTTTAGCCTCTGCTTACATTTCGTTACGTAACTTGTTACAAATTCTTATCTCGATAGCGAAAAGCTATTCTTATCAAGAGCAATTTCACGATTCGCGACTACTCACTTTGTCCGGCAAAGTTCCCGTTTCCGCGATTTTTCGCATGCACGGTCTTTCTCGACGTTTAACGGCCGCAAAGTTATCCGAGAAATTCAAGGAAACGGCAGCTTTGATGTAATAACCGTGCAAATATTAGATAATCCGTGCCGAAAGGCCGTGTCGCCAAACTCCGATAAAGGGACGCGATTCTCGCGGCGATTGCGAAACGTTCGATTCGGTAATCTTTACATGTCTGATTCATAAAGCGTGTTACATCATCTCTCTTTCTACTTTTTTTTTCACGTGGATGGCATCACGCTGGTGATCGCGGACGGTGAAAAGGTCCTAAAATGACGCGGCTCGCGTTACATCGGCCAACAGCGTCCATTTATCACGTTTAGCTTCTGACACTCTTGCGCGGAAGAGGAGGTTGTATCGTACGAAAGGTCCATTTAACGTCTCTCGAGCGGATTAATTCCCACATTTCGTAAGAGGAACGAACGTACCGAAATTTCCTCGCTTAAATGCTTTATGCCTCTTATCGAAAGCATGAGAAATCGGCATCGGAATTTCGAGAGAGCGTCCTCTTTTCGTTAGATTTGAATCCTGCAGTTCCTGAAAATCGATCTGAAAAATGGATACGTCGCGCATATTTCCGACGTTGGAAGAATGACAGTTTCGCGGACGGAAGAAATCTGCATCGCAATCGCGATTAAAATCCACTCGTAATCAATTAGTCTACTTGCAGTCGAGTCGCGGATCGTAAAATCCCGGCAAAAGGCCGGCGAGTTTCGCGAGATCATCCGACGTTCGGTCGGCAGCGCATTTTTGCCACGCACCGGCTAGACAGCGCGAATATTCCCCGTTCAGAAATAAGATTCCAGAATGCGGAAACATCGGCATTAAACGCAGCGGTTCGATGCGTACGTGCTTCGAGAGGCCGATGACGCTTACCTCGCTTCTACCTCGGTGCCTTCGTGGGAAGCGGACATTGCAAAACGAGCAGCGAATCGCGAGAATCTTATTCGATATTCAATTAAGTTTTTTTACGGAAAAATAAAAACGAAAAAAAGACCGGTAGCGCGGTCGCGTTCGTTGCACCCAGGGTATTCGCGGAACTATCGGCACGGGAGAAAAAAATAAACGTGCCGAGGATGCGCGCGAAAGCGACGATATCTCCATAAATCTGTCGTTATAACGTGTTAATAAGCGTCCTTAAATTCATGTCCATAAATTCGAAATAATTCGGATATAATTAAGATTCGCGCCTCTCGATTCTTATTTCATCGGATCGTCGCGTCTTTATTCCCAATCAATCGGCATTTTAACGACGTCGTCGATTACTCGAGTCGGATGTATATCATAAATTTTAAAACGTCTCCTTTTGCGTCCCGATGAAAAATCCGAAGGACGACCGGCACGATCCGCATAACTCGCAGGCGTTTTACGAGGCAACGCGAGGTGTTCGTTACGGGTGTCTCTCGAGCTCGAGTTCGTGACACGTCAGGAGGATCTCAATGTGAAGTTCGAGCGAGGGCGAATTCCTGCGGACTTTCACCGTAGCCGAAGGACGGGCGGCGATCGGTGCAAACCGCGAGAGGTATTCGACTCGAGCGCTGCTTAAACGCTATTGTTAGCAAGACCGGCGTCGATCTGACCACGCTACGCTCGCGCTGACATTTTCGATTCATTTCGCGAACGAGCGCCTCTGACACGCGACCCCGGAATTATCGTTTACCTCACAATGAACACCGTCTACGGTCCACCGCACATAAACGCAAATACTGTATTGTCGAAATCGCCGAGTCATACCTTAATATCTCCGCGCGAGGTAAGATCGCTCGGGAAAGTAATATACCGATCTTAGACGTTAGAGTTTTTTGTCGATTCCGTTTTATTGTTCGCCGATCGCGCGGAAAAATCGCCCGTTCTTGCGATCTATAATGACGGCTTACGAAATATGCGTTTCGCCATTTACGGATATTTATAGATATTTTATATCGATCTCTTTAATAATCTATCTTTTCCTTACTTTTGCTCGGTTTCTTGCTGCCCTCCTCCGTGTACTCTGCAATCTCGCTCATGTGGTCCGCTTCGTCATCTCGCGCTGTAACAATGCATTTTGCTTTTGTTTATTATATACGGTGTAAACGAGCGATAGTACGCGAAGAGAATATGCGATTGTTTCTGGGGCAAATCATGTTAAGATGAAATTCAAAATATGTATATAATAATTCATATTGGAATCACGCGAAATTACATTTTTATTATTATACATGATTGCATGCGTGTTTTTCTGCGATTATGCAGTCGACAGGGAACTATGCTACGGGTGACATTTCAATTGAGAAAAGTTAACGGCGGGCGGCGTAGGGGGAGTCCCACGAAACAAGAGACGTGCACAAAGAGACCACTGATAATGAATCGAGATAATAGTTCGCTGTCAGTCGACACAGCTGCACCGTTGACTCCAGTTGACCCACGCTTATTAAACGTCAGATACACCATCGAGCAGCGCGCGCGCAAAGTCACTGTAAAAAATATCTTTCAAGTACGATACGCACGCGCTCGCAAAATTCCTTTTTTCCGACATTTCGATATTTTCATCCTCCCAAAACGTACTCTTCCAATATATCGCCTAATCTTATAATTGTTATTATTTATAATTATTAATCTAATAATATATCTTATAATTGTTAATATTTATAATTATTAATATAATAATATATATCTTATAATTGTTCATCTCGTGTAACTGATGTAAAACTCTCGTCGAAATCACCCGAGATCTATGATCTTCGCGTGTCCGGATGATTGCAATCGTGAAAAACTTGATCGGAGAAACGTGAGTGAAGGAAAAACTTCTCTTCGCTTCCTTTTTATTACATTGTATCGATGATGCATGACATTCTTGGTGAACACTAGATTGCAAGGCAGATTAGTCGCGTGATCTTAGTTATTTTACGTCTTCTCTTGCATCGCGTGTGATTTTTTCTGCGTTTTCTCGGAATTTTACTCGAATTTTCCTCGCCAATATCTGTATACTTCTGTCGTAAAAAAGACACGCTTGTCGCGAGAAATTTTCTTTAAGAATTTTGTTCTTTCAAAATCGAGAAGATTAAAACCTAAGTATGTATTGAAAATCAGAGATTTTTCATCCAATGAATATTTAGATAATTCTTCAAGTTTGCTGGAAAATTTCCTCGAAAATGAGAATACAATCTTGGCAATTTTCTATGTATTTTAAAATCTTCCGTTTTTCCGAATTAACAAACAAATTCAGAAATTCAAAGAAAAGGAGAAGAGAAAAATTGGAGAGAAAGAGAGCGAGCGAGCGAGAAAGAGAAAACTGACTGCAAAGCTCAGCGAGCTAAGAAAGGCAGATGCACGGAAACTGGCCGAGGGAGAAGGAGAGAGGCAGAAGAAAGAAGGAGCGAGAGAGCTCGAGAGCTGTAACAAGGAGTCGAAAAAGAGAAAAGGGAGCAACGAAAAATAAGAAGAGTGGTTCTCCTCTTCGGTCCGAGAGAGGTTGGGAGCGGGTGGCCTTGAGCAGGTCATCACCTCCGGCTGCGGTGGTGAAGCTGCCTGCGCTGGACCATCTTAACTTCTTCTTCTTCTTCCTCTTCTTCTTCTTCCTTGAACCGTCCTCGCCATCTCCCATCTCCGTCTCCTCTGTTCGCCAACCTCTTCCCCTCCTCCCCGCGTTCATCTCTCGCTCCATCCTCGCTCTTTCTCTCGCATCCTATCCGGCTCGGCGGAGTTACTTTGTCACTCCCTCCTTCTCTCTCTCTCTTTCCTGTCCGTTCTCTCGTTCTCTCCTTTTCCCGCTTTAGATGCTCTTTACACTTTCCTAAAGGCCTTCGCTCTCTCGGCCGCAGAAACAATCTGTTCGTGCTAACTCCGCTTCGATCGAGCGGGCTCTCGACAGCGGAGAACGCGCTAACATCGTTGGTAGTCAAGGGGGCCTGTCGTACCTTTCCTTTTTCTAACTTGAAAGATGCACGATTGTACATGATCGAAGAAACTTCCTTCGGAGAAAGTATAATAATTGAGAAATGTCATTAGAGGATTAGATCTTTCCTCTTGGAGAGCTGTCCAAGTAGATACATCGTTCGCGCGATTCTATTTAATCTATTAGAGCAGAGAATCGGTGTCGGTATCTGTAGCAATATATATATATATATATACAATGTCGTTGCTTTCATTATCGCACGTGACCACAAAGACCATAAACGATCGGACCTGTCGGCAGGTTCCGTGATTCCGTGTTTCCGCTCCGGAGAAGAAGGATCACGCAAATTGCGTTTGACAAACTGGATCGGTCGGGATAGTTACCGCCTTCTCGCGAGTAATGATTGGCGCGTGGCTACGCCGGAGCATGTAAGGAACCGGACGTTGCACGTGCATCGATTCTGGCAAGATATTTTTCAGGATTTCTGACCTCGCGGATATAAAGTTGTAACGTCCGAGATGCATTTTCCAAAACGGTTCAACGCGCGTGCTTCGCGTCTAGCTCGGTGATCGAGAAGCGCTCTCTCTCTCTCTCTCTTTTTGTTTCTCTTTCTCTCTATGAGAGTCGTGTGTTATTTTCTTCGTAGGTGCAACATTCCGACACTCGCTTCTCACGCTCGTCGAAAGTGCAGTCGGCGCGCCGAGCCGCGCGCCGCAAATTGCCGGGCGTGACGAGGATTTCGTGTCGTTTCCGAGGGAAAGGATCACGCAAATTGGATTTGACATAGCGGTTGATCGGTGATAGACCCACCCTTTCCAGGACGTAATGATTGGCGCGTGGCCGCGCGGTTCGCACATGACGCGAACGCGAATACGGCGGATTTCGCACGTACAGAGTCTATTTTCGATCCCTCGTATTTTATTATCGTAGAGAAAATCACGTTCGAGATGTCATCGATTTGTCATGTATATACAACGTTGCTTAAATTGATTTAATAAAATGCGGTCGAGTATCTTTTTTGCTTGATTTTCGTTCGAACAAAAAGATATGAGGCTTGTTCCGATAAGATGGTGAGCGATAAATTTCCTACGATCGTAGTCAGCGGTCAGGAATTTTGTTTCTATCAAACAAGTAAAAAAAAAAAAAAGGATCGATGTCTGTGTTGCAAATCGTATACGAGAGAAGACGAGAGTCTGATAATATTAGCCTTTCGGTGCTGCCGCACGAAACAATGAACACGGAGGACCCGGATCGGTGCGCGGACTTAAGTGAATGAGGAAGATAAACATAATAATTACGGCAAATTGAGGCCTGCCACTGAAAACGGCATTGTGGCAAACAGAAAGAGGAGAGGCGAGAGAAAGAAACGGGCGGGCTGCGACGTGTATCGGTGAAATAAAGTATCGCGTTTAACGTACTTGGAATGCCGACGAGATAGCGTGGGTGAAATTATCGGCAATCGCGTTTGCGAGCTTATAACTCGTGGTCCGCGAAAAAACATTGTAAATTTTACGAACATTATTAATGACAGATTTCATTATCGGAGATTTTTTTTTGTTTTCAAGAAAATTGTATTCATTAAATTATCGATCCGAGAAATATGCGTCTTTCAGCTTTCTCGGCGCGGTTTTAGCTCTCGCGATACGCGAAACCGCAATAAGAGCAACGAGACGAAATCGCTGTAACATATGCTCGGCCGGAAGTACGGTACTACTCGCTGCGTGGGTCGGTATTCTCAGACGATACTATAAATTGCTCTAATCTCGCGAGCGGTAATAGGCGTATCCACTCTCGCGGCCGCGATGTGTTGGTGAGGTGAGAGAAGACGCGTTGCGCATATAGCAAAAGGACGTGTGCTTTGCCGACGCTTATCGGCGCTTTTAAATAACTTCTCGCCAACGAGCGTCGAATCTTACGTTGTGATTTTTCACAGGCCTCGGCAATCTGCGTCGAAGAAATTTCCTCTAATACTTGACCGATTAATTTCTAAAAAAAGAATGTTTTCTTATCAAACCTCGAGAATGTGTGAACAAATTAATACTATAGGAAAATGCTTCAGAAAATATTTCATTCTTAATATTCTGAAAAAAGAAAATATTCTAATTAAATATCTATCTTTAATATTCTAATTAAATATTCTTCTCACAAATATGTTTTTTATGCTGTAACTATTTTCTAAAGAGAGCGTTACAAATTGAGAAAGTATCTCCATATTGTATGCATTGGTTTGAGGGGGAGATGCCTTAGAGCGGTATTCTATTTCTGGCCTCTCGCTCCGTTCTAAAGACACTGTAATGAATGTACGCGATCGAAGGGTGCATCGATTTCGATCGAGTAACGACCTCGACCTAGTGAATTACGCGTTGCACATATTTGGGAATTTAGCCCCGCGGCTGCGGCTGATCCAGCCTCTCACGCTTGCGACCGAGCGATGGAATTTGCTTTCGGCCGATCGCTTTCGCGTACAAGGGCCGGTTTTCGCGGCCGCGACGCCGCAGGCTACCCGCCCTTTTTAGACCCGAAAAAAAATGATGTCGAGTAAAAATAACCGGCGAAATTTGCCGAGAAGAAAAAGAATTATTCGAGCTCGAGACGCTTCTTACCTTTGACAGCGCGCGTTTCGGGAAGAGACAAAGTTACGCTACAAAGCGTATTATTTAAATTATACGTCTTCCTCTCGTTCTAGCGTATATATTTATCCTTCTTTTTACCTGACGATAAGTAGAGAAACCGTAAACGATGTATCTCTACGAGAACGGACGTGCGCGCAGGACCTCTCTTCTGCGGTGATCTTCCGCCATCGTGAATACCTCTGTGCACGTGTATCGAGAGATACACGCGATGTACGAGGCGCGCTGTTAGCGTAATAATAAACTCTCTTGAACGCCGCGCGACGTGGTACGTCTAACAGAATGTATCTTGCGAGTCACAGTGACTGACTACTTGGCGCCTGCACCGATAAACCAACCCCGGACCCCGGCCCTCTCGCGCGCACGTTTAATAGCGTACACGTTCGCGTACGCTGACACTAGAGACGCGGACGATGAATGAGCTAATTGTGCTTTCTGCGACGAGCCGGATCTCCTTTATCTCTTTTCCGCCGCCAATGACGTACGTACTTGCCGGCTATCGCTCGAGAGCGCGATATCGAAAGG